TTTTCAGAGCATTAAGTCCCTAGTCAGTTAACTCTGAGGCAGAAATGTGATGGAGAAATGCTGCTCATGCTCTGGTAGCCAGGAAACAGAGGGAGAAGGGAGAATCTAGGGACAAGAATACTCTCTTCCAGGTCATGTCCTCAGTGACCACATCCAACAAGCCTCCACATCCTAACAGCACATTCTGCCATGAAACTCATCAATGGATGCACCACTGATGAGTATAATATTCCATGATCCAAACAGTTTCAAAACGCATGAGACTTTTGGAGAACATTTTAGATACAAACCATCATATTCCACCCCTGGCCCCAAAAGACTAATGTCCAAATATATTTAGTCTATCTCTAAGAGCTGCCAAAGTCTTAATAGTTTCAGCATTACTGCAAAATGTAAGTTCAAGTCTCCCCTGAGGCTCAAGGCAAGCTCTGTGAACCCCTGTAAAAATAAAAATGGAAGCTAAATAGTTGTGACATACAATGACACAGGGTAAGCCTTCAAATTCCATAAGGGAGGAACAAGGGGGGACAGAAATGAATTAGACCAAAGCAACATCAATATCCAACAGGGCAAAAATAAATCGTGTTGCTCCATGTCCAGCACCCAGGGTAAATTATGGTGAGATACAAGCTCCAAAGGCCTTGAAAAGCCCTACTTCATGGTCTTGCTGGTTGCAGCACAAGTGGCCTCTCACTTGGGTTGGCTCTGCTCACTGCCTAAAGCTTTTCTTGCCAAATGTTCCACATTCCTGGCATCTACAGTTTCCTGGGATTGCTACTGAACCTTCAACTTCACTCTCACTGCTTCACAGACTACCCTCTCAGGGTCAAATTTCCTGGCCTCCCACATAAGCCATTTACCTGAGCCTAACCCTTTACTACATGACACATATAGTATAGAGCATATACTAAAATGGACAGTAAGGGCTGGGGTATAGTTCAGTGGTAGAGCACTTGCCTAGCATGAGCAAGGTCCTGGGTTCACTCCCCAGCACCACACAAATAAATAAATAAATAAATAAATAAATGTTTAAAATTACAAACTCAGAGAAATTCCAACAAAATTTTATTAAACTTGACAGATTAGTTGTAAAGTTTATATAAAAAAGAATTTGTATGAGAGGCATTTCTAAAAATTCCCTTAAAGTTGCAAATACATATTACTAGACATAAAAACATACTATTAAAGCTATAGTGTTTAACAAAGTTGTAATGACATAAAAGATAAATAAAACACAATGAATTCCCAAAAGAGTCCTTTTAAAAATAGGAATTTTTTAATGATACAAACTGATTTCAAATGAATTTTTGAAAGATGACCTTAAAAAATGGTATTGGATAAACTATCTAAAACTTTAAATGATAAGGTCATTGTGATATACAAATCTTTAAAACTTTTATGTTAAAGGCTAAAGCATTATGAACGAATAAGCAAAATGTAGCACACACAGATAATGGAATATCACCTGCCCTTAAAAAATGAAAAAAGTTCTGGTGTGTGCTAAAATATAGATGAACCTTGAAAATAGTATACTAAGTGAAATAGTGACAAATCCTGTATGAGTCACTTGTATAAGGTGCCTAGATTAGTCAAATTCAGAGGTCAGAAAGTAGAATGGTGGCTGACAGAGGATTAGGGAAGAAGGAGATGAGGAGTTATTATTTAATGAGGACAGAGTTTCAGTTTTGTAAGATAAAAAGTTCCAGAGATGGGTGGTATTAATGGTTGCACAATAGTGTGAATATATTTACTAGCATTGAACTGTATAGTTAAAAATGGTAAATATAGTTAATGGAAAAATAGTTAAGATGGTAAATACTATATATATATATAGAGAGAGAGAGAGAGAGAGAGAGAGAGAGAGAGAGAGAGAGAGAAGTATGCTAAAAGAAATATTTGCATCATTTATAAGAAACAATAAGATCCAGATAGGCACAGACCTTCTATAATAAATAGGGATAAGAAAAAACAACTCAAGAGAAAAATGACTAAAAGACACAAATAGGTAATTCACAGAAGAACATAGGTGATCCATAAATATAAAGAGATGTAAAACTGCAGTAGTGATCAGCAAAATGCAAATTAAAATTTACATTAAGTTAAATTAAATTAAAATTTGGTTTTTACTCATTTTCCAGCTGTGGAAATTAAAAAAGCAATCACCAGATGTTAGAAGGGACGGGAGTAACAAGTCATTATGTATTGAGTTTAAATTAGTGCAATGGGGGGAGAGATACAACTCAAAGGATTGTGTCTATGAAGTAGAAATAAGGGCCTATCTTCTGACCTAAGAATAGCTGTCCACAGAAATACTCACACTTGAGCAGAAATATGAATGCACGATCCTCCTAAAATATTTTTGCTAGTACTGAATACATTTAAATAATTCAAATGTCAACAAATGAAGGAAAGGATGGATAAATTTTATTCTATTTTTACTTTAGAGTAACATGGAGCCATTAACAAAAGAGGCCTGTAGAGATCTGGAAAGATCTCTAGGACTTGGTAAATGAAAAAGGAAACTGTATAATAAGTATACATAACCACACTGAAAAACTTATGTGCACATACATATTTTGTGTATCTTTAAACAAGACAAAAACATTTTGGAAAGCCAGGGATTTAGCTCAGTGGTTCACCCGCCTGCCTCGAAAGCACAAGGTCCTGAATTCAATCCCTGGTACCAAAACAAAACAAAACAAAAACAAAAAACATTTCAGAATGACATTAACGAAAGCTAACCCTCACCCTTACGTGTGGTATTCGGGGTGCTGATTGCAAGTCTGTATTTCACTCCATATTCTTCTGTATTGTTTGGAGGAAAGTGTATTCAATCATTACTTGTGGGGCCTTTAAAGTGTACAAATCAAACAGAACCTAGAGTAAATGCTGAGGAAGCAGCAGAACCAGAATGAGGAGGGAAGGTCTGCTGTGGAACCAAGGACACAGCTATTGGAAAGGAAACTGCATCTAACTTCAAAGAAGCTTGCTTGGAGGGAAAGATTTTCTCTAGGAAGACAAGATATACTATTTGTTTTGCTTTTTCCAGTTCACACATTATTTTAAGACAAGGAAGACTTCCTCTCCTAGGAAGAGGAGGGCCAAAGTTACTGTTCCTGTAAGTGAGTGAGATGACACTCACAAATATTTCTCTCTACTGGAGCCAACAAATGACCCAGCCCAGTTCCCACAAGGAAAACATATACCTTCCTCTTGTCAAATACAGTATCATTGACTCCTCTTTCAGGACCATAACAGCTTTCCTGATGTGGTTCCTTTCTCAGGACACAAGAATTAGCAAAACATCAGAGGCCCAGCACTGTTGTAATCACTCCAGTTGGACGGTCCCGGTCTGTTTAGGTGAAGGAAAGCACAGGGGGACCCCATGGTTTCTCCCCAGATGGCTCAAGTCTCTACCTGACACCCAACATGTGCCCTGGTTCTCTCAAAGATGCCTTTGATACAGAAAGCTTTGACAACAGGAAGGGGGACTGGGATCAAGATGTAGACGCAAAGAGACAAAGGACAACTGAGAATTAACTCTGTCAGACAATGAGAGGGGAAGTGGTGAGCTTTCTGGTATTGGGGCCATTTTAACAGAAGCCAAATGCTGTGTGGAACTGAGCATGCCCCGAAGATTCTAAATAAGCACCAGTGCCCCCCCCCCCCAGCACACGATGATTCTCAGGCTCAGCTCAGCTTGGGAAACCCTGAACAGTGTGGCCTTTTGGAGCTCTTCAACTACAAGAATCTCAGAATCATCTTAAAGCAACCCAGGACAGAGAGAAAGCAGGGCAAGAATGAAGAGACCACATTCACATTTAGGCCCACTCTCAAAAACCCTAGAGTTTGAGGTGCAGCAGGTGGTGGTGAGCAGACTCCAAAGTCAAATCCTAACTCTGCTACTTGCTATCTGCACGACCAGAACCAAGATCGTTAAGCAATCTGGGCCTCCATTTCCTCACTGATAAAATGAGGGTGAGAACAGCAGTATCTTATTTATTCTCTGATGAAGTTTAAATGCACAAACATGTAAAGTGCATACTTAGAATGGTGAACGAATCATCATTATTATTTCGTTATCAAGGAAACAAACTCAGACGTAAGAAGAAATGTGAGCCAAATCCTAGTCAGTTTGGACCTGAGATGGGGACCCACTGGCCTCTTTTCCTTCCACCATGGTCCCTCATAATTAATCTAATCAAATACCACACGCCACCATCCTCCCCTTTCGTCCTCTTGAGTTGGAAATAAGCTTGTTCTCAAAGCGATTCAGGCAGATCGGGTACGGTGTGGCCCTCAGTGGGATCTAGCGGTGCACCTCCCACCACACATCAGAGGGGATGGAACAATGGAGTAGGTTAGGACAGATGGACGGACAGGTAACAGGGATGGATGGACAGACAGATGGAGGGATTCTTCGGCGGGTGGATTCCCTGCAGTTCAACCTCGGGCTCTGATTTCAGCCCCACACAGCCAGCAGCAGGGCGTCAGAGAGGTTACTGACCCTCCACGCCCCCGCCTGCTACCCTTGTCCACAGAGAGGTGCTCCTTCCTTCCAACCCTCTGGAGCGGAGCTGCGTCCACCTCCCCACTATGCAGTCCCAGAATTCCCTCTCCGCCTGGGCGTGAGCGCCGCGCCTAGGGCTTCTGCATCTAGACCGCGGCGGTGGAGGACGCTGGCTCCCAGAGAGACGGCCGGCCCGTCAGGTGGGAGCTAGGGATCCGGAGGAGGACAGGCTGGGACGGCGACACGGTGTGTTGCCAGAGAGGCGAAAGGGGACCAAGCGGGAATTTTAACTCAGCCCACTTTCCCCCCACTTGAGGAAGAGGCGCCGGGCCGGTGGACTTGAAAGCCGGCAGGGGAATGTGGTGTGCGGCGGCGTGCGCTCCAGGACGGCCAGGCCGGGACCTCTCGGAGCACCGCTGGGGCCCGGGGAGCCGGGTGCCCGCCGGCGGGAAGGGCGCAGAGGCGGGGCGGCGCGTGCCGGGGTACTCACCGCGCGGGCGCCGCGGGCCGGCCCATCCTGGCGGCGAGGGGCGCGGGGGGCTCGCGGGGCGGACGGGGCGGACGTGCCGGGCGCGCGGGCTGTGAATCAGTGCGGGGCGAGAGCCGAGGGCGGGAGTTACGGGAAAACCGCGGGGGAGGGCGGAGGGGTGAGGACTTTTGCAATTTCCCGTCTCGCTGCGCTCTTGGCTCTCCTGGGACCCACAGGAATTAGCCTCCTGTTTTGGTCCCGGGGGTGGGGTGGGAAGGCGGGCGGGATCTTGAGGGAGCGGCGCCCTCGGGACTGGGCGCCGGGCGGGGACGGCGGAGACGGGAAGGGGCTGGAGGAGAAGTGGAGTCCAGCGCGGCCCGCGCCGCCGCTCCCGAAGCGGGCCTGCCCCAAAGAAACTCCGGGCGGAGGACGAGCCCTGAACCAAACGCGGCCGTGTTTTACCTGGCGTTCAGAGCAAGCAAGCATGCTTGGACAGATTTCTAGGATCCTTGATTCTCCCTGGCTCAGCTCCCATCTAGAAACGCCTTGTCGGACAGTTTCTTCTAATGCGACAGTCCTGAAGCCTTCATTCCACAGAGCTCCGTGTACTAAGACACGACTTACTTTGCCTCTTTGAAGTGCTGTCCGATCTGTCCCGGACTTGGACAGACATATTTGACATCTCCTCAGAGTTATACGACAGAACACAGGTATAAAACCTAAAACCACCCTAATAGTGCCCCTTCCCTGGCAGCCTTAGCCTGGAGAAGAGCTTGGCAAGCTCTGGGTTCATAGCACTCCGCAAGCCTCCTTATGGTCAGCCAGGCCTGGCTTGGTCGATTTGGGCACCATGGAAAGTGTCACAGATGAAAGGTAGCTGAGAAGAAACCAAGAATAATCGAGAAGGCTCCACCATGAATCATGTGTTAGAGTCACTTCTTGCATTGACAGATGCAAGATGTGTCAGTGTGTCGTTGTCAGAATTATTACAAAAATTTTGTTTGTGCACATTTTTTCCCTCCCTAATGTCCTTTTAGGGAATTTTTAAAGACCCTAATCACTTAATATCAAGGATGGTGTTATAGATAGGTAGAAATACTCTAGGCAGTCAGACAGGGCTAGGGCTTCGAGGGAGTCAGTGCCGAAGATGAGAACACATTACAACTGTGGCTGGAGGTGCATCTGTTGGAGGCCAGGCCTCAAAATAAGTAGGGAATGACCAGGCCTACATACCTCCCCAAGGGATAAACAGTATACTGTAATCGGTATCACCTGGTTTAATAAAGTCTAGATAGACATTATTCACCCATGTGGATGAGCAGGACCTCCTGATTCATCCCTTCCTAAAAAGGTCTTTGTTCTTTCCATGTACTCTTGCTATGTGACGTGCTTCCGTGTTGGATCAATATTACCTAAGGGGCTACCCTTGTAATCTTATTGGTTGATCACAGTTTTGACCCATGTTGTACCTATCTTGTGATTTTGTATCCACCTTGTTATTTTGCTCTATAAAACTTCCTCTGTTTTAGGGTCTTGCGGTAACCTACTTTTGGGTCTCCTCCTGTCCCTCAGGAGCTATCTCCCTCAATAAAAATTTCCTACTCTTAACCTCCATTGTTCCTTAGAATTCATTCTTTGATTTTGAGGAACACGAACTTGGCGTATCTGACATCTAGCAGGTTGGGTGGGAGTAACATTTATTTCTCCTATGTCAGTGCCACAAAGACCGTAGTGTGTGGTAAATATTTGATGATAACAAAAAAAAGGTACCTTTTGTCTAGTGAATTATTGTATGGTACTTTACCACACTTCTCATTACTTAGAGCTTTAAAGTATCCATTAGAATAGCCATCTGCATGGTTATGAGACTGTCAGGCCAGGCCCTTAACAGTTGGAAAGATTTTCTAATTCTATTATTTCCTTGAGAAGGAAGGAAAGAAAGAAAGGGAAGAAGAAAGAAAGAGTATTTCTTTATAGAAACTGTTGAGGGGGTGCCTCATAGCAGATGAGATATCGAATTAAAAATGTTCAGTATGAAGAATTTCTATTGAGCTTTTAATATAGTCAAAAAAGATGGAAGAGTAAAATATTGGTGCTCACATAAAATTCATCTACTTTTTCACTATGCTAATTTTTAAATGTATTCCTTTATGCTAGGCTTTAGTTGATGTAGCATCTGTAAATTTATGGTCCTGTCCCTAGGATGGGTGTACTGAGTTGGGTAGTGTCTTCCCAAACTTCATTTCTATCCAAAACCTCAGAATGTAACCTTGTTTGGAAATAGTTTTTGCAAATTTAATCAAATTAAATGAGGTCATACTAGGTTAATCCAGTGACCACTGTGTTTATAAGAAGAGGGATATTAGGATGCAGACACTCAGGAAAAACACCATGTGTATTATTAGCTTTCCTTTGCTAGGACAAAATACCTGTCATGCACAATTTAAAGAAGAAGGAGTTTATTGTGGCCCACTATTTCAGAGGATTCAGTCTATATTCAGCTGGCTCAGTTTTCTTAGCCCCGTGGTGAGGTAGAAATGTCACGGTTGAAGGGCATGATGAAGGAAAGCTGCTCTCCTCAAGGCATCCAGGAAGCAAAGAAAGAGAGAAAGAGGTCAGGTCAGGAGCAAGATATACCTTTCAAAGGTAGGCCCAATTCCTTCAACTGGGCCTCACTTCTTAATAGCCTTGTTAGCTACTAACTCATCAGTTGATGAGGGTAGCACCCTCATGACCCAGTCACCTCTGTAGGACCCGTCTTGAACATTACTACATTGGGAATCAGACCCTCAATACATAAGCCTTTTTGGAACACTTCATTTAAACTATAACACCATGTGATTATGGAAACAAGTTATTCTGTGTCGTGCCAAGGAATGCCAATGATTGCTGACAGCCACCAGAATCTAAGAGAGAGATGTAATGGATTCTCCTAAGAAGGAACCAATCCTCACTACAGCTTGCTTTCAGACTTCTGGGCTTAAAAATTGTGAGAAAATGAATTTCTACTCTTTTAAGGTTTGTGGTAATTTCTTGCATACTCACCCTAGGAAACTGAAAAAGTTATATTCCAAAGGTTGGTTTTAAAAATTTGTCTGAACATAGCTGAAAATAAATAGATGAGAAATATCAGTGGCTTATTAAGCTAAACTCAAAAAATCCATGATTGCTTAGCACTGATAAGGTTGTATTGTGAAAGCACATATTTATTCTGCTCTTTTTAACCCTTCCCCTTCATGTTTGCTCTTCCTCTTGATTTCAGTAGCAAAATTCTCCACTCTTTCTCCAGGTCCCTGACTTTCTTCATTTCATCTTTTTGGGCTTTTTCTTCTGACTTGCCCCTAAGATGCTGATGAGTCTTGGCATCAAGACTTGATGTTCTTCTCTTAATTCAGAGTCTCATGAATGATCGTGTCCACTTGTGTAATTTCAATAATCTCTTGTGCACTCTTGGCCCTTGAATCTTCCTTTGTAATTCAATAATATCATCTGAGCTCCAGACCAGTGAATTTGAACCTCAAAAATCAGTATGTCCAGTTTCAAACTCTTCAGTTTTCTTCACTTGATTCTCCTATACTAAGTGAATGGCCCACCCTTTAACATTTATTAAGTTAGTGGCCCAGCTTTAATCTGATATCCTTTAGACAGGGAAGCCAGAACCCTGGGAATTATGCAAATATGAAAACTGAAAATGATCCTAGATTATTCCTAGGATTATAGAATACTAGATCCCTCATCTTGCATCTTTTCATCCAGAAGTTTCATATGTCTAACTATATTGTCAGGAAGATATGAGAGGTATGTACCCCTGCTCCATCCAACTCAGAGGAAAATAGTCCTGGAACTGTCAGAATCATCATATATATCATCATGAAACCAACCATGCAAGTTGTGAAATACAACTATAATTCTATTTGTTCAATTCCTATAAATATCTGTAATTGCATATTGGGCAATATTTGATTACTAAACTGATAGAGTTTGAGAGAATTGGAAGTTTTGTGAAGAAAGTGGCTTCATCAGTTAAGCAGTAGGTAATAATTTACAATTACCATCATCTATCAGAATTCTCTACCTTGTCAACATATTATCACTAAGGCTTTAAAGAAGGCTTTTGCTATTGTGATCAGTGGTAATCTTGACACTTTTATTTTTTTTTTTATTAAATTCTTTTATTGGTACATTGTAGATATACAACACAATTACATTTCTCATTGGGAATTGTACCTTTACATAATGCATCTTGGTTCTTATTTTT